CCTGCTGACTTCATAGCTTATGTGTTATCCCCATTATTGTTTATTAATTCTTTTGTTGTTTATTCTTCATTACTTAATTAGATGCCCTTCTTTAAATATAATAAATAGTGCATTTTACCAAAATAAATAAATAAACAGTGCAGTGCTTCTAGCCTACAATTTACATGTCAACATTTTGTATTTAACACAAGTATTAGGACCTCGTACTTTACTTTTCCTTATGCATGTAGTCTTGGCTTTGTATATATATACATGCATGCGAAGCCCTCAAAACAGACTAATTAGATCAATTTAATCAAATCCAAAGCCATGGAGGATCATATCATCTTGTATTTCATCTCTTTCAGCTCTGCTCCTCCTCCTCCTCCTCCTCCTAGCCTTCAAGTTGTTGTTCCCCTCTAAAAACGTTACAAGAACCTTCCTCCAAGCCCACCATCCAGTCCAATTGTTGGTCACCTGCATCTCATAAAACCTCCAACACTGTGCAATTCGCAACCTGTCTGACAAGGACGGTCCAGTCATCTCCCTTCCATTCGGGCCTCTTCTTGCTCTTCTCGTCTCATCAGCATCAGCCATTAGAGAATGCTTCACCAGGAACGATGTTGTTTCATCGGATTGTCGGGAGTCACTCTTTAGCAAGTATATAGTCTACAATCACACTACGATAGTGACCTCATCACATAACGACCATTGCGGCAACCTCCGCCGCATTGCTTCCGTTGAAATCTTATCCACCAGCAGCCTCAACAAGTTTCTTGAAATACGAAAAGACGATGTTAAGCGGTTGTTGATGAACTACCTCGCAATGCCCGTCGAGACTTTGCAAAGGTGGAGATAAAATTGATGATCATCGACCTGACGTTTAATAATATCATAAGAATGGTGGCGGGAAAACGGTATTACGATAAGAACGCGGCTGATTATGAAGAAGCAAGAAGGTTCAAGGAGCTGATAGCAGAAACGGCACAAATTGGTGCAGTGGGGAAACCTGCAAATGTTTTGCCGATCTTAAAATGGATTGGGAATTACGAAAAGAGAGTTAGAAATATTGCTAAGAGAATGGATGGATTCTTACCAGGTTTGGTTGATGAGCGCTGCAACAAGAAGGAGGAAAACACAATGATTGATCATCTTCTTTCTTTGCAAAAATCAGAGCCCGAGTATTACACTGATGAAATCATAAAAGGGCTTGTTATGACTTTCATTCTTGTAGGAGTAGATATATCTGAGGTGACATTAGAATGGGCAATGTCTGATTTACTGAACCATCCAGAGGTACTAAATAAAGCTAGAGAAGAGATTGATGCCCAAGTGGGTGAAGAAAGGCTAATTGATGAAGCAGATGTTGCAAAGCTTCATTACCTTCAAAAGATCATGCGGAAGTCACTCCGTCTTCACCCAGCAACACCACTTCTCATCCCACATATGGCGTCTGCTGATGGCACAATTGGCGGCTATGACGTATCAAAGGGCACAATGGTATTGTTCAATGCATTTCCTGTGCATTGAGACCCAAAGTCATGGGATAACCAGGACAGTTTTAGGCCGGAGAGGTTTGAGAAGGAAGAGAAGGAGAGATATAAGTTGCTGCCTTTTGGGTTGGGTAGAAGGGCTTGTCCTTGGGAAGGGTTTCCCCAGCGGATGGTCAGCTTGACTTTGGGGTCAATGATTCAGTGCTTTCAGTGGAAGAGAATGAGTGAGGAGAAAATTGACATGATTGAAGGAGGAGGACTTACAATGCCCAAGGCCCAGCCACTAGAAGCTATGTGCAAAGTTCAACCCATGCATTGTTCACAAGGCTTTATACGGGGTTGAGTAGAATTGATGAATCTTTTTGGTTACGGTGAAGAGTCATATCATGTTACAGGAGGGGGAAAAAAATGAAAGAAATAAATAAAAAGAGATACGTATTGTAAAAGAAAAAAAGAGTCGTGTTTGTTAACGAGAAATGTATTCGTATGTTGTATTATATTGTTAGTATTGTAATTAGGTCAAATTAAAATTGTTATGGCGATTATTGTGACGAACACAATGTTAAGCCCATGGAAAAACGCAGTATTAAGTTGCGTGAAACACACTAGGGAATCATTGAAAAGGAAGAATTATATACAACGAGCACGGCATCCCCGGTAAGTCTTGTGGTCAAGGCCACAGATTTCATATAGCTTCAAGGACAAGAGATTAGCATTACATAATTTTTTAGTGCCACAGCTGTCCATCTTTGCTTGGGCCTTTATACTTTCTAGAAATTGTTTCTGACTAAATAATTAACGTAGAAATTGTTTCTGACCAAATAATTAACGTTCCACGTTCTAGCTACCAGTCCATCAACTTTTTACAGTTTTCTACATCCTTCTGCCAATTGTTTATAAACAGCACTAGCATTTGCAATTCCACATTCAGTGTATAGTTTAACGTTCCATATAATCCCCTCAAGAAAGAATTAATGTCTCACCATCACAAGCATCCTCCACCACCACAACCAGACCCCTTCGCACCTCCACCACCTCCAGGACCGCCAGGGCCACCACCACCTCCAGGACCGCCAAGGCCACCACCACCACTCTCACACGGTCCTCCACCAGATCCTTTTTTTCCACCACCACCTCCAGATCCTTTTGCACCACCACCGCCAGGTCCACATGGTCCACTGCATCCGCGCCCGGGTCCGCCAGGTCCTCCGCCACCTGGGCCTCGTCCCCCTCCTCCCCCTTATTGATTAGAATGTAATATATAAATATTGTAATTGCTATTACATGAGATGTCATGGCAAAATAAGTGTGGGCATCTGTTGGTTCAAATTGATGCTCTCTCTGTATGTTATAATTAAAGTCGAAGGTGAATATATATGTAATGTAGAAACATATATCATATATGTATAAGAACTATTCACGGTTTTCTATCTCTGCCTGTTTCTCCGATTAATTACTAATTTACTAGTGCATATGTAACTAATTTTCTTTTTAGACATTCAAGACGTTTGTGAATCGACCTACTTTGTATGTCTCAGAACTAGCTAATTTCTTCCCAATGATCTTAATTAAGAGGTGCATATACAATTTTTCATATATTATATTTTGTTTGTTTGTGTGAATTATGAGTACCATAGATGCAGATTCCCCTTTTATTCTGGAAATTTTGTCTTCCCAATTTTCACAGGGGTTAGGCACACATTTGTTTAAGATTTGATCTATGTGGACTGTGTAC